TGATTACATGAATGAACTTGGAATGCCTGATACACAACTGAACAAGAGAATATTTGTTGTTAATAAATGAATGATTGTGTATCGGTTGCTAATGACATTCGATAGTAGTCGATATCGATGTATCGATGTATCGATTACTACAACATCTATTCAAAAACAAAAAAAACAAAAAGAAAACTAGTTAACGATTTATATGTCTCTAGACGCGATTGATTTTTCTTTTACTCATATTATATTGTAAATTTCACTACACACAATATCTTGAGACAATAAATATATATTGAATGTTACGAACAACATTATCGTGTACTGACTTTTTATTTGTAGGTTTTGTACTGATTTTCTACCCCTTTCTCTTTTCAAATTATACGTATATGTATTGTTTTTTCCCATGTTACTTAATGTTTACTTATCTAAACATAACAAAAAGCATAGTGCAAACAATAAATTTACTTGATTTTACATCTGTCTGTTATGAAAATTAATTTGTTTCGTAGTTTTAAAATGCAGATGATCAAGTAATCTTGCATATAAATAATTCACTTAGAAGATATTACAAATGATTTTGTAAATCTTTTCAAATAGCAATAAATGACTTCTTATTTAAAGAATATAGTTGAAGAAATATATTTTTTACATAATTGTTTTTTTATCTGCTTATCGAAAATCTACAAGAAACTATACACCAAGATGCATTCTTTTAGCTGCAATTATAGTGCCAAAAGAGAAACTTGAAGAAGCACCAATGTATGAAAACATTGCCGCAAACTCTGCGACGCAATAAAAATTCTTCGTCATCATCCAACTTTGAAATTGCTGCGGGATATTTGCTCACATCTCGAATTCCAAAGGTTAAATGGCAAAAGATATTAGAAGACAAAGGTGTCAATCATGTCATTGACTCTGTTTTTGCGAAGAGATAGTCCGATCGCCTGCAGACGTGATTTACGGATATTAAAGATTTACCTTCAAGAAGCAGTTTACGATTTTCTTATCAATCGCTTGTACGAGGATTCGATGCGCGTGTTTAAAGTGATTCAAGAGAAATAAATACACATCAAAATTTGATAACACCGTTTTTGTTTTTTAATCTTTATTTCTTACTCGACGCATTCGGAATACGATCCAGAAACAACATCTCTTTCAACGATCACGAATAAGATGTTGACTTTTAAAGATTTCCGATCTTTTTTGCAGTGTTTCGATATTCTATTCAGACGGCTCGAAAAAGTACATGTAGCTGAGGTACCAGCGAGATGCCCTGCGCGAAAAATGCTGCGTCGCGGATGCTCTCGATGTATGCGTGATAATCGAAATATCAAACCGACGCACGCTGCAGAACACATGTTCGACTATATGTACGTAAGTATATTTGACAAATTATGTTTAATTATTTTAAACTGCGAAAGTTATGTAGTGTTTTATGAAGTTGGCGCGTCTGTATTAAAAATGATGGCGTATCTTAATCTGCCAGTCCACTTACTGCCATTACCTAAGTTTGCGATCTATGTATAATAATGTGAAGACTTGCAATGCATTCGAGTGGATGCACTAGTGCGCAATGAGTGCGTTCTCGTTCAGGATGTAGTAAAATAATAAACCTGGAATAATTTACTACACATTGAAAGAAGACGCACTAATGCATCCAATCGCATTTGTCGTTAAAGATAAATAACTACATGTCTTCATCCTGGTGAAAAAATAATAATGATACATATTTGCTACCGAATAACGGCAAGAAAGTCTAACCAAAGAAATCACGATCTTTGTCCTGGTAAGTCGCAAGGTCTTATATAAAGCATCAAATCTGTGATCGTCCAACCCCAATAAGTACACTACATCGTGTAATCACTTAATCACATGTGCTTTACAACTAAAAGTTTTCAAACAATATACCATAAACTATATTTAATAATATATTTATATAACATGTACATACTATAATATACCAGTCAAGAAAATTATTAAGTTACCAATACTTCCTCTGTGATTTCAACAGTATTACGACTTGTCATCTTTTATGGTCGCTTCTTTTTCTTTGGCGTACTTAAAAGAAACTTTTGCTTATAAGACAGAAAACATTGTTTTATGTTTTTCATGTTAGATTTTATTTTCATACTGATGTTTACAATTTCCAAATATGTTGTTGTAATATAAACAATTTCAGTTTAGTCTTTTAGGATAGCATGTATACATTTTAAGTTTATTTTCAGTTCATCACAGATTATCATAATAGTCAATAACCGAGTCTGCGCGTCCACAAACTCACAGCGTACTGAATATAAAACTAATCTTAACTATAAAGTCATACTTTTTCTACTTGCGTTTCTAGTGTCGATATAATGTCACGAAAATATCAACTATTTAAAATCCATAAGTACATACCTAAACTTAATTCTCTTTTATCAGTTCTATACAAATCTGTATAAAATACTTTTGTTTCTATTTTCTCTTACATCTTAAAAGTATAAGTTTATAAGTTCTCATATTAAAATAAGGTAAACTGTTACAAGATGTAGTAATAACTATAATTGCAATTACAAGTATTACAATTCCGTAAATGTAACCGTCTTGCACAATTACTTTCTTTAGGTACGATATTTACAGTTCTGTTACAATTCTTCAAATAATTGCAATGTCAAGTAATATTTTCTATCGGGATATAAAACAATTCTCGTTTCTAGCTTTTTTTTAATCTTTTAAAATGACATATTGACTGAATTTGGTAGAATTACTCATACATTTCATGTCGTGTACTAAATGAAGAATAAGTTTTAACATTTGGTCTTTGTGACTTAAAATGTTTAACATCCTCCAGAGTTACAGAACAACCAGTTATATCCAACTCTACCAAGTTTGATAATGTCGACGATATGATATTGATATCCGTTCTTGTAACATGTGAATAATGTCTGAAAAGAAATAAAACGTTTAGTATTTAAAACATTTTTTTTGTTTCCTGGATTTACAATTTACCTAATATGTAATTTCTTCAAATTAGTACATCTACTTATACAGCGACTAATATTTGACAGCAAATAGTTTTGAAACTGATTGTTTCTGTACATGAGTATTTCTTCAAATTTGTTTGCGTCAAGAAGAGACTATAGCAAAAGAACTTATATTATCATTCAGTGCGCAACGAAATATTAATAACTTTTGTTAATACTATTGTATGATATACGTAAGCGTGTATGTTTGAGAGACAAAAATAGAGAAAACGAAAAAAACGAAAAACGTACTTCTACTTTACATAAAAAGTTATAAAGCTTTTCATCAAAAGCACGTAAAGAAATGTATTCTTTGTAATAAAAGTTTTGTAACTGTGCTAATGATTTCTTCGAATAATATAATGATTTATATGGACATTTTTTTCTAAAATATTTAGGACAATGTAGATACACTTCCTCTAAAGATTCAATTTGACAAAACCATTCAACTACTCTATGTTCTACTAGTGTGTCTGTAAAGTTTAAAATCTATAAAAAAATAAAACAGAAAAAAATGTTTGTAGAAACGTGTGCTGTCAGCTGTAGAAAAAACAAAAGTGTGCAGTAATATTAATGTTTTGAAATAAACATTACCTTTAGTTTGTGGCATTTACAAGTGACAGTGACTAAATCTATGTCTGAATTAAATTCTTGTATACGAAAACATGATCTTACGAAAAGGTGTAGAAGATCTGTAAGGTTACTTATACTTGACAGAAATGTCGAATATGACATATTCCATAGAACATTAAAGAAATACAAAGACTAAAAGGTATATTTTTACTACAGTATTGAGTCGTTATAAACAATGTGTGTGTGTATAATGCAATACAATAGATATATAAAGATACGTAAAATATGTAGTATATATATATATATATATTTATAATATAATAACTTACTTGGACATGGGGAACAAATCTACATATTCCACGAAAAAAATAGGTCGTATTAAATACCAGGCCAATACTAGAAGAAGCTATACAGTTTGAGAAAAGAAGACGTACAATATTTGTTGACATCTCTGGCGTAACCTAAAATCAAGTTTACTAAAGTGACATGTATATGTATATACTAAAAGTAAACACAAAAATTTAACTAGTTTATAAACCGCATAACCGCATATTTATATTTATATTTATAACCACATAAATAATGCTATACGTAAAGTGTGCCTCGCGTAATAGTACTACAAAATTGTCAAATGTACTTTGATCGTGTTATATTTGTCACAGACATATTTGATGATATATCATACGATTATTATCATTATTATCATTCTAAAAGTAGTTCAACGTAACAAACTGTACTTCTGGAAGTAACAGTACTTTTTATATGTATTGTTCTACGTTTAAAGACAGCGGTAGAATATCGTATAAAAACATTGGATTTTACATTTTGTTTGACTACTTTTTTTAAGAAATTGAGCCTTTGCACAAAACATTTTATATACAAATAATACGTAATATACGATTACATCGTGAGCGATTGAGTTTCAAACGGTTAACGCATTTTATTCTAGCAGTAGAAATTTGCTACCACTTGAGACCAAAATTGTACCGCATACAAAATTAAGTAAAGAAACTATCGTATTTTATTCTTTTAATAACTTATACGATTGAGTTGTTTGTTCTATGTGTACATACTGTGTAAATATTTTTATAAAAAGTAAACCATACCTCATCTAAATTAATTAGATAGTTCCTAAGTTTTAATGTGTGAAGTATCTGGCATATTTGTTTTACTTGAAAAAAAAACGAACGTTCAAGGATATTTTCTGTTTTTTGTTTGAAATCTCCACGTATTTTCAAGGTATGTGTTAATGGTTCTAAAAAGTTTTCATACGGTTCCATTTGAGACGGAAGAATAGGTTTATTGGTATAGTCGTAAGTCCAGAAAACTTCATGTAGTGCTATTCTTGAAAATTTTGTGCAACACCTATAAGAATTAAATTCCACAAAAAGAAATATATAGATATATATATTATATATATAT